CCCCCAAGACTCCTCAGACCACGTCCCTTCAGCCCCTTAAGCTGTTTAGGCGGGCTTGGGGTTTAGGGTTTAGGGTTTAGGGTTTAAGGTTTAGGGTTTAGGGTTTAGGGTTTAGGGTTTAGGGTTTAGGGTTTAGGGTTTAGGGTTTAGGGTTTAGGGTTTAGGGTTTAGGGTTTAGGGTTTAGGTGTTAGGGTTTAGGGTTTAGGGTTTAGGGTTTAGGGTTTAGGGTTTAGGGTTTAGGGTTTAGGGTTTAGGGTTTAGGGTTTAGGGTTTAGGGTTTAGGGAATTTGCGGGGGACTTAGAGACTTTCGAGGCTCGCTGTTTGCCATGCGAGCGCACGGCAAAGATCAGGCGAGCATAGGCCCACGTCATGACGCTGATCGCCGCTTTCTCTGTCAGAAAAGTTCCGAAGGTCAGGAGCCCAGCGGCCGCGATCGGGCTTCGCTGCTGCAGACTGACAATCACAATGGCCAAGAAGTACAGGAAGATCCAAGTGCCAAGAGTCGCGATGAGGTGAGTACAGAACCACAAGATGTGGCCACACCTGTCGATGCCAGGTTGATTTGACTCCAACAGGGTGTCCTGGCTAACAGAAGAGCCAGTCTCCGCCTTGTCAGCCTTGTCAGCCTTGTCAGTCTTGTCAGCCTTGTCAGCCTTGTCAGCCTTGTCAGCCTGGTCCCTCCTGTGCCAGACAAAGTGGACGAGCAGAGACAACAGCGTGTAGAGCGCCGTGCCTCCAGCACAAGTGGTGAAGAGAGTCTGGCTGTACAGGACGCCATGCAGCCATATAGGCAGCAGAGGCACCGCAGCAAAGCAAACCATCGCAAGAGCTCCACCGAGGAGGTGCAGACGCAGAGGGAAGGTCGTACCTGTGAGACACATGCCCCAGTAGAGGAAGTAAACGGCAAAGCCGAAGGGAAAGGTGCCCAAAGTAAACGTAGCCCTCCACCATGGTAGGCCTTCTGAGGCCGACCGTGGCTCAAACACATGCATGACCGAGCCGTAGATGGTCACGTGCAGATAGTTGTACAGGCCTCACGTTTTTAGGGTTTAGGGTTTAGGGTTTAGGGTTTAGGGTTTGACCGAAGCAGGAACAAGCGGAACAAGACACGGAGTACGCGAAGTATGTCGGAGGGCATCGGATAGTGCTGCCAAGGTACAAACCCAAGCACATGTTCTGACGTCCAGGCTCGCAAGCGGCTTCGCATCTTCAAATCCCACACCCACATCAAGATTGCATGCGGCTTGTAGGGATCCGCAAACAACCTGCAAAGGCAAAGCTCAACAACGAAGCAACAAGCAAGATTGGGGGGCCTCAGGATTGTGCCTCTTTAGAACTCAGGAAAACCCCTAAACCCTAAACCCTCAACCCTAGACCCTAAACCCTAAACCCTGAACCCTGAACCCTGAGCCCTAAGCCCTAAACCCTAAACCCTAAACCCTAAACCCTAAACCCTGAACCCTGAACCCTGAACCCTAAACCCTAAACCCTGAACCCGAATACGGAGCCTGCGGAAGTCCAGCGAAGCCCTGCCCGGCAAAGACAACGCCACCCGATTCGGCCCAGGAAAGCTGGCGGTTTGCATCCCAGACTTCGATGCCCAGAGGCTGCCCACCGATGTCCTTTTGGAGGGTTTAGGGTTTAGGGTTTAGGGTTTAGGGTTTAGGGTTTGGGGTTTAGGGTTTAGGGTTTAGGGTTTAGGGTCTAGGGTTTAAGGTTTAGGGTTTAGGGATTCTGCTCAAACAGGTCAGCTTGCAACCCGTGTGGTCGTCAAGGGTCCCTTTTTGATGGGGCTCCCTGCGAGGAGGGCCCTGAAATAAAGGGGTCCTGAAACTCTGGCCATCCTTGAGACCCTGAACCCTAAAACCTAAACCCTAAACCCTAAACCCTAAACCCTAAACCCTAAACCCTAAACCCTAAGGGGTTGTCCACTCTCTCTCTGATGGCGTGTTTAGGGCGTCGGGGTGGGCAACCGATGTCCTGCACAACGTTGTAGATCTCACCCTCGTGCCTGGAGATCAGGTTGAGGGTTGCATTCCAAGCGTTCCCTCAACCCCCATGGCCAAACGCCAAAAGCCTGAGGGTGGCGGGTAATTATGGGGCTTCAGTTCTATGGATTGCGGTTGAGGTCCACCTTTCCTTTCGAAAGTAAGAAGCATTTGCGCGCAGGGCCGGTGCTCGAAGGTCAAGTTCGGGGTTTCGGGGTTTCGGGGTCCCTCCCTGCATGCGAGGTGCAGCTCCACGACATCGGGACCATAGCTGGAAAACTCGGAGGTCCAGCAGCCATGAGCATGTCGGATCTTGTCCAACGCAGGTTCAGATGGAGGCCGCATTTCGGGCGGCATCCACCGGAAGGTGGGAAGTTTGAAAGCAACGCTTTGCAGGTCAAAAGCCGGGAGCCTTGAGCTTGCATCGTTGGCCCCGCCGCCGCCATCTGGCCACTCATCCGTCCAGAGAAGGCAAGCGCGGCCGCCTGCTGCACGCCTTCTTCGCAGCAGCTCTTGGGCAATGGGTCCAGTCCCGATGATGATCAAGTTCAAATCCAGAAGGCGCACGTTCACGCGCGTGTCAGAGAGCAATCGACCCATGGATGTGCACGTGTCCTGGTCGCCTCCTTGCAGGCGGCGGCATAACTTCGTCCATGGCTCACTCTGTGCGGAGGCAGCGGCGGCCCTTCGCCTCGGAGACCCGCACTTCCCTGAAGCTCTCGCAGCCATGTCCAAAGCCGCTGGCTCCTCACAGGGCACCACCGCGGCCAGCGGCACCTGCGGCCTTCCCACCGGACTGCCCGCCAGCTGCCCGGCCATGCGGAGCACATGCGCTGCAGGGGCCGCTCTACGGGGCTGAAGGACGCACCCAAGGACACATTCTCAGTGCGCAGGTGCGCCCCTCCTACCTGAGCCCATGACTGCAGGAAGTATCCAGATCTCTTCCAGGGAACAAGGTGTCACCAAATACCAGTCCCTGTCAGCAAGAACTGGCCCAACACCCTACAGTGGAGCTTTGTGTCTGGATTTCGGGGCTTCGAGTACTTGGTAGCCCAGTAACCATATTGCAATTAGGCTAACCCTTTTGGAGTTGGTTACTTCAAGAAGGCAACCTAGAACCAAGAAAGAGGCAAAGGGCGCCACTGGGCTACCAAGAATGTGTAGGGCCCTGCCGAAACCGCACATCCGAGGGCAGGGCGCAAGCGCACGCCACGTTCCACGGCCCAGTCTCCCAGTGCCTCCAGCGAACAGGAAGGTTTAAAGCCGAGGCCCAGGTATGAGGCTTTAGGGTTTAGGGCTTAGGATTTAGGGTTTAGGGATTGGGGTTTAGGGTAACCGCAAGTCCTCTGAATATTTTATCGGGTCCCTCTCTCTCTCTCTCTCTCTGCTTGACCCGTGCGGAAGAAGGGCTCAAGGCGCCAAGAGGGCTGAGGCTTTCTAGTTGAGGTTTGCGGGCTGAGAGTTTAGGGTCTAAGGTTGAGAGTTGAGGGTTTAGGTTTAGGGATGAGAGGAGTTCAGGGCTTAAGGTGTCAGGGCGAGGATCCCAAGGCTCAGAAACCCCCTGAATCCCCTAAACCCTAAACCCTAAACCCTAAACCCTTAACCCTAAACCCTAAACCCTAAACCCTAAACCCTAAAGGGCCCATGAGTTGCAGTCCCGAAGCCGAGTGGTTGCCAACGGCCACCTGAGCTGTTTGCTCTCAAGGGCCAAGATGGGCTCAGGGTGTAGGATTGAGGGGGCTTAGGGGGTTTAGGGGGTTTAGGGGGTCTAGGGGGTTTAGGGGGTTTAGGATTGAAGGGGCTTAGGGGGATTTAGGGGGTTTAGGGGGTTTAGGGGGGGGGGGGGGGGTTTGGGGGCTTGAGGGGTTTAGTAAAGGGGGCGGGGCTTAGGGGGATTTAGGGGGATTTAGGGGGTTTAAGAGGTTTAGGGGGTTTGGGGGGCTTAGGGGGATTTAGGGGGTTTAGGGGGTTTAGCTTAGGGTTTTTTTCTAGGCTTTTCGGGTTTAGGGTCTAGGGGAGCGTTGGGAGTTTTGGAAGCTTAAGGCGCTGGACCATGTTGAGGGGCCTCGCAACGCCTTACATGTTGGGGCGAGGCTTTCAGCCTAGCCAAGGGGCATGTTTAGGTAGGGTCTCAAGGAGGGTTTGGGGTTTAGGGTTTAGGGTTTAGGGTTTAGGGTTTAGGGTTTAGGGTTTAGGGTTTAGGGTTTAGGGTTTAGGGTTTAGGGTTTAGGGTTTAGGGTTCCTCGAGACAGTTGCGTGAAAAGCGGCCAGCTCATCTCCGAACTGTGTCTCGGCGCAGATACACTCCAGCCATACTTCGAGGGGCATCTTCGCAGTCTACTGCCAGCAGCTCTCCTCCTGTCACATCGGCTTGCCCTGTGCGGGTGATGGTTTCCGAATTACTTAATTCGACTAGGTGCACCACGCGCGCGCGCGGGCCGCTGATGAAAGATGGAAAGTAATTACACTCAGCCCCTGAGCATCCTCCAGCGCCTAGTCGTGGCATGCCGTGGTTCACTACGCTCTGCAATGGACCAGTGCATGGCTGCAGCGAGGCCGAGCATAGCAAGGTCGTTTCATTTGGATGTTAATGGCCCATTCCTTACAGACACTTCATGGGAGGGTGGCTGATTTGCGATCAGGAGGGACGGTCCCCTGCAGCAAACGAACCTTCTCAACCCTGAGCGGGCGTGATGTCCGGCTCGTGTACTCCCCTTATCTTCAAAACCCCCAGAAACCATTTCCTACGTTCATTCTGGTGCTTCTTGTGGGTGGGGAGGGGGGGAGGAGCCCCTAAAACCTTAAACCCCAAACCCCACACCCCAAACCCCAAACCTCAAACCCTAACCCAAGCCCCAAACCCTACCCCCCAACCCAACAACATGAACAGAAACCCTAAACCCTAAGCCCTAAACCCTAAACCCTAAACCCTAAACCCTAAACCCTAAACCCTAAACCCTAAACCCCAAAACAAAATGCGCGCAAAGCCCGAGATCTCCGGGGCACCCGCAGCCCTCAGCCCTCCCGTCTTGGCCGCAGCGAAGTCCTCATCCGAGTCCTGGGACTCCCCCCGAAGCTGGGAGCTTAGGGTGTAGGGTTTAGGGTTTAGGGTTTAGGGTTTAGGGTTTGGGGTTTAGGGTTTCGGGTTTAGGGTTTAGGGTTTGGGGTTTGGGGTTTGGGGTTTGGGGTTTGGGGTTTGGGGTTTGGGGTTTGGGGTTTGGGGTTTGGGGTTTGGGGTTTAGGGCTAGGGTTGAGGGTTGAGGGTTGAGGGTTGAGGGTTGAGGGTGGAGGGTTTGCAAGCTTCAAAATACACCCGAAGCCCGAAACCCAAAGCCCTAAATCCTAGACCCGAAACCCTACTAATGTACCCAAAAAACCCTAAACCCCGAAAAAACCCAAAAAGCCCAGAAAGCCAAAACAACACAAACCCAAAGACCCAATGACCCAAAATCCCAAAATCCCATAAAACCCTAAAACCTCATGTCTCTTCAGCTCCCGACAATGATGGTCCCTTCTTGTGGGCCCCCCTCCAGCACGAGGCCCCCTTCTGAAAAGCACCCCAACCTAATGGGTATAAGGAGGGACACCTAGAAGGGGCCCTTCATCTAATTCCACTATATAACCCCCATATAACCCTTACATATACCTTATGTAGTGCCCCTCGGCCCCTCGGGTCCCTTACAAGGGTCCCTCCTTTAGTCCCTTGACCAAAAGACATCATCATGTAACTGGCAAGGGGGATTTCCCAAAACGGGATTATGGAACTCTGGCGCTCCAAAAAGGGGTTCAGGGCGTAGTCTTTAGGTTTAGGGTTTAGAGTACCCTCGTTGGTGGGGGGTCCGACAAACAGGATTAATTAGAATGTTTTTGGAGTTTTGTGAGGGGTACCACTATCTTAGGGAAATAACAATCTTGAGCCTGCATTTGCGCTGCAAGGCTGCAGTTTTCTCTTGTTTGGGGTTTAGGGTTTAGGGTTTAGGGTTTAGGGTTTAGGGTTTAGGGTTTAGGGCTTAGGGCTCAGGGCTTAGGGTTTAGCGTTTAGGGTTTAGGGTTTAGGGTTTTGGGTTTTGGGTTTAGGGCTTAGGGTTTAGGGTTTAGGGTTTAGGGTTAGGCTTCTGCTCGACACCCAGCCCTCGCAGCACCTCGCCCTCACCGTGCTTTGGGCTGCTCGAGAAGATCTTGACCTAGGGTTTTTCAGGGTTTAGGGTTTAGGGTTTCGGGTTTCGGGTTTGGGGTTTAGGGTTTAGGGTTTAGGGTTTAGGGTTCAGGGTTTGGGGATTAGGGTTTACGGGAGATTCTCAAGAGTAGCGGCCCGTGAACAGCATCATTTTATATGGAAGTCGGTCAAAAAACCTGTTGCCATAATTCGCCGATGTTTCCCGTAGAAACCCAGATTAATTTCCCAGAAGGACCTTAAGGTCAACCCCCAATATTGAAATAGGAGCCCACCACCGTAGACCCTCAACCCTGAACCCTCAACCCCTAAACCCTCAACCCTCAACCCCTAAACCCTCAACCCTCAGCCCTAGCCCCAAACCCTAAACCCTCAACCCTCAACCCTAGCCCCAAACCCTAACCCTCAACCCTAAACCCCAAACCCTAGCCCCAAACCCTAACCCTCAACCCTAAACCCGAAACAACTTGGGGAAATCTCCCACAGGAGCTGCGGCTTGGATTCTTCTCGGGGCACAGGCCCAGTCTCCACCCGACTCAGAGGTTAAAGGGTTTAAAGGCTCTTAAGGGCTCAAAGGGTTTGAGGGGTTAAAGGATCTAAAGGGTTTGAAGGGTGTTAAGGAGTTTAAGGATCTAAATGGCGTAAAGGGATTTAAGGGTTTGAAGGGGTTAAAGGGTCCAAGGGTTTGAAGCGTTTTTAAAATGCTTAAAGGGCTTTGAAGGGTTTAAAGAGTTCAAAGGGTTTAGCGTTCGGGTTTACGGTTTCCTAAACCCTAAACCCTAAACCCTAAACCCTAAACCCTAAACCCTAAACCCTAAACCCTAAACCCCAAACCCTAAACCCTAAACCCTAAAACCCCACAAACCCCACAAACCCTGTAGGGGATCGGACCGGCTCGGACACCTGCCGGCGGAAGTTCTCGGAGCGCTCGGGCTCCCCTTGGTCCGACACCTCTCCGCTTTTTTTGTTTTTGATTTGAATATGTACATATGTGTGTCTATACATATACATATGCATATACATATACATATACATATACATATACATATACATATACATATACATATACATATACATATACATATACATAAAACATATACATATACATATACATATACATATACATATACATATACATATACATATACATATACATATACATATACATATATATATGTATATATCTATATATATATATATATATATTGTTTTCCTTTTTTTGCGGGGGGGGGGGGGGGGGGGTGTCGGTTTTGGGGTTTGAGGGTTTTAGGGGCTTTAGGGTTCTAGGGTTGGGGTTTTGGGGTTTGGGGTTTGGGGTTTTAGGGCTCTGGCCCAGCGCCTGGGGTTTTGGGGGGGTTTAAGGTTTTTTGACTTTAAGGCTTTGGGATTTAGAGTTTAGGGCTTTGGGTTTTAGATTTTTGGGTTCAGGGTCTTAGGGTTCTGGGTTTCAGGGTTTTAGGGTTTTAGGGAGTTAGGGTATTTGTTTCTTGTTTGTGGTGCTGTAAGGTGGTAGGGTTTTGGTCTTAGGGTGGCTTTGGGTTGCTTAGGGAGTTGGACTTGAGACCTCTGGGAGTTTCGAGACTGCCTTGAGCTTGGGGGAGGTTTGAGCTCATGATGGTAGTAGGGCTCATATGGCGTTAGGGGTTTGAGTCGAGGGTTTAGTGTTTTAGGGTTTTAGGGTTTTAGGGTTTTAAGGTTTTAGGGTTTTAGGGTTTTAGGGCTTTAGGGTTTTAGGGTTTTAGGGTTTTAGGGTTTAGGATTTTAGGGTTTTAGGGTTTTAGGGTTTTAGGGTTTTAGGGTTTTAGGGTTTTAGGGTTTTAGGGTTTAGGGTTTTAGGGTTTTAGAGTTTTAGGGTTTTAGGGTTTTAAGGTTTAGGGTTATAAGGTTTGGGGTTGCAGCGGTCGCCTCAAGGAAGGTGTTTCTGATGACGACCGCCTGCGACATGAGACCTGAGGTTCTTGGGTTCAGCGGTAGAAGTACTCAGCTCTGCGCCCCAGACCCCTTCGTCTGTAGAAACATGGATTAGGGTTTAGGGTTTAGGGTTTAGGGTTTAGGGTTTAGGGTTTAGGGTTTAGGCTTTAGGGTGTAGGGTGTAGGGTTTAGGGTTATGCCCAAAACAAAAAAAGAAACCTCGATTCTCGCCTTCCGCCACCAGCTGCGATTTGGAAAGCTCTGGGGGGGGTACGGCGGGGAAGCTTGGGCTGCTGTTCAAGGATTGGCCCATGAGGCTACCTAAACCCTAAACCCTAAACCCTAAACCCTAAACCCTAAACCCTAAACCCTAAACCCCATCATCTTCCATTCATCTGCCACAAGGTTTATGGTTCAGCGTTTAGGGTTTCACACGATGCTAAGAACAGTGGTACCCAAACTGACAAGCTAGAGGCGCAGTAGGAATCACCTCGCTGCGCACCAAAATGCAAAACCCGAAACCCCGTAACCCGAACACCGAAACCTGAACCCCAAACACCAAAAGCTCCTAAATTCTAAGCCCTAAACCCGAAACCCTACACCCCTACGCACTATACCCTAAACGCCAAACCCCTCTTCTTGGGACATCCTATGCGTTCCAAGCGCGCAGCCGACAAAAGCCTCAGAAGGAGGCGGCCGCTGTCTGTGGGGTCGTGATCCAAGGATACCCTGACGGCTCCTGTTTTGTCTTGGAGTAGTCACCGTTTCAATACGCAGCTCTGGTCCGACTTGCATGAACTGCTCATGTGTCTACCTGTTGACCTTCTTCGTGGTCCAAGTGGCTGTGAGGTAACCTACGAAGCATTGAAGCGTAGGCAAGCATGAGTGCCCTTGCCGTGGGGCCGAGATGGACCTCGGAGCCAAACATGGAGCGAGCGGCCGGCCTTCAAAAAAAAAAATGCCGCAACTGAGCAAAATAAGGACGGGGGGGGGGGCTCGGTTCTGATGAACCCTGAAGCACGGAATCTGATGACTGAACCTAATCGTAGACACTCTTCCTCGCCCTTTGCCGGTTTCAGGGCATACGAACACCTGCCTGATAAACCGTTCCTGAACAGGCGGTCTTGCATGCCAATGTGCTGGCTGGTCCATGCCGTCCCTAAACCCTAAACCCTAAACCTGAAACCCTAAACCCCAAACCCTAACCCCAAAAGAACCCCGGACCAGGAAAACTTCGCCGCAAGGTGGGCCATGTTCTGCTCGGCGGTCACGTCGTCCCAACCGGCCATGGCCTCGATTCCACCCCCTTTGAAACGGCCGTTAAAAACCTGCCAAGACCCTTAAACCGAAATGCCTTAACCCCAAAACCACTTCCCTAGAATACCTGGAAACCCAAAAGGCTAAACCCCCTAAACCCCTTTCATTGAAGCTACTTAGAAAAAAACCAAACAAACCTCAAAAAAACTGAACCCTAAACACTATAACGAAGCCACTGAAAAAAAAAAAACTTGGACACCCCGTGCGCAGTTGCATTGCAGCGGCCGTGTAATGTGGCTCGAGCTTCTCCAGGTCTAAGCCTTCTCAGAGTGAACCGTTCAGAGCATAAGGTTGAAAGTTGAAGGCTTCGGGTCTACAAACGGAAAGCCCCCTCAAGACTTGCTAGCCCAGTAACCATGTAGCAAGAAAGAGGCTGGTTACTGTATAAGGGAACATAGAACCCCCTGGGGACATCGTAAGAACTGCGTCATCCAGCATCCCAGGGGTTTCGGGGTTTAGGGTGGTTTAGGAGTTTAGGGTCGAGCGGGTTAGGGTGCATCTACTCGGAGCTGGTTCGCCCAATATCTCCCAGGCTTTGCCACGATTATGGCGAACTCGGCCCATGATAGGAAGTTTGGGAGCTGGCTGGCCGACATGCAGCAAAAGCTGCCTGAGATGCAAAGAGCTTCCCGAGATGCAAAACACTGTCAGAATTTTTGCATCGCGGGCAGCCAACCCTGAAAGTCGGCCAGGAGTCTTACTGTTTACGGTTTACTATTCTATTTACTACTTACTACTTGCTACTTGCTATTTACTATTTACTATTTGCTATTTGGAATTTGCTATTTACTATTTATTATTCACTTTTTACTATGTACTATTTACTTTTCACTATTTTCTATTTACCATTTCCTATTTGCTATTTACTACTTCCAGCCGAGAGCGAGATGTTTTGCATCGCGGGCAGCCAACCTGAAAAGTCGGCCGGAAGCCTCAGTTATCCTGAGTTGTAATTAGAACGAAGAGGGGGGGAAGACTTTATTTGCATCGCGCGCAGCCAGCCCTAAATGTCGGCCGGCGGCCTGAATGTGGCCGACAGTTTTGCTATTTTGCTATTTACTCTTCCAGCCGAGAGCGAGATCCTTTTCATCGCGGGCACCAAATATTCTTGAGCTCTAATTAACGCACAATTGTTTTGCATCTCTGGCCACCAACTCGAAACATCCGCCCGACTCGCCAACCCTTGGCGGGCAGCCAACACTGCACGTCGCCCAAACGCATCCCTAGGAACGCCACCTACAATATTTCCTTACAGAAAGCAATGACCCGGCACAGCACCAGTAAACAGCAGGGGGAAGGTCATCTTTACCTGCCGCAAGTCATCACGGCGCAAATCCTGACAAACGGCACTGCAGCAGACAGCAGCAACAGCTGATCAGACGCAGGCACAACACGCATGCAATTGTCGTGACCTACTTAGCACTATGATAATTAATTCCTATCTAATACAGATATGGCCCCAAGTTCAACAAAGTAATCAAAATCGAAAAAAATCTAAATACAATCGAAATTAAAATCAAAAAATTTGCACCAAGATCAGGTCAAGAACAAAACTAAAATAAATAGGAAAATAACATGAAAGTCAAATGAAAATCGAATAAAAATCAAATAGAAATTGAAACAAATCAAATAAAAGCGATTAAAAAATCGGAAAATGCAAATGAAACTCAACCAGAAAACAAGCTGGGAAAATAGCAACAAAACATACAGATAAGGGAGGCTGCAATGCCCGAGCAACTAAACAGGAATACGTAATATGAATAACTACGACAATTCAACATAGGCTGGAATTCCTGCAGGCCCGGAAATTCCCCCCCCCCGCCCCGTTAAGGAACCCCGCCCTTGAGTTGAGCCATTAGGGTTTGCAATTAGGGTTTAGGGCTTCAGGCTCAAAGGATTTTCAGGGTTTAGAGCTCAAGGCTCAGAGGGTTAACTATGGTGTTGGGCTTAATGCTAAACCCTAACTGAACCCTAAACCCTAAACCACAAACCCTATACTCCCTTCTTCTCTCCCCCTTTTTGGGGTTTAGGCTTCAAATTTCAGGTTTTAGGGTTTTGGTCCCCCCTCATCTTAAGTATTTTTCAACCGACGCGATGTTTAGAATTACGGGGGGGGGGGTTAGTGTGGGGGGAAGCGATTGCAACACATTGATGCAGCAGTCCATGCTTCAAACAGTGAGGGCTCTTCAAACGCACCAATGCAAAGCAGCAACAGCTGAGAAGGCTCGGGCACGACACGCGCCGGGACCTCGCGACCCTAACCGGCTGCCTAGGGCTCGGGCCTACATCCACTTGCCACCCCTTAGTAAGTGGGGTTTTCAGTATCTCAGTTGGGCTTAGGTAAGTAATAATGAGTAAAATTGCCTGACTACCCTAAACCCTAAACCCTAAACCCTAAACCAAAAACCTGTCACTGGACGCCCGGAGGCCTGTTGCGTCCAAGCCCAGATGGAGATGGAGGTAGGACCGTGTCTGGGGCGTCGCCTGGTCTACTTGAAGGTTCACGGGTGGTTATATCAGTAGGGTTATACGAACCAAAAAAAAAGGTTGAAACCTATTTTAGCTATGCGGGGGCCTTGGGGGCTCCAGAGGGTTCGAGGTCTTCAGCATGTGAGGCTCAAGGTAAGGACTCCCATATGGCTCTTCCGAAGCTTCCCTCAGGTCATCCTCGGATCGCGCTGACCATCTGGGGAATACTGCTGGATGGAGTGGAGTAGTGTTGCTGTAGGAATTTCGGGCCTTCAAAATGCTTGATGGAGAGGCCGTGGAGTATTGCTTTTTGAGGAACGTTGGGCCTTCCTACCTTGCAAATAAGTGATCGGCCTTCCAGTCCTCCCGCATCTCGTCCAGGGCTACGTCCTCCTTTGGGTCGAGCAGCAGCAGCAATCGGGTCAAACCCTAAACCCTAGACCCTGAACTGTAAACCCTAAACCTAAACCGTAAACCCTAAACCCTCAACCCTAAACCCTAAACCCTCAGGCCCGTCAGGTGTACGCGGGCGGAAGCCTGCCCGGGCAACTCGGATATGGCAGATCGGAAGGTGTAGCCACCTGTGACAATACAACTACAATTTGAAGTGATATGATATGAAAGCGCGTGCAGCCAAAAGCTCTGCCCAAAAGGTAAGAGGACGCCCTTGAAAAGACATTCAAGATGAACTAGCACGAGCTGCGGGAAGATGGTCTCTTTTCTGAAGGCCCCGCTTCAAGGCCATACTTGCAATCGCCTCGCAGCACAGAAGCTTGTGGCACCCAGTCCCCCAGGCCCTGACACAAAAAAAGGGGAAAAGAACATTCAGACACTAAACTGAAAACCATAAAAGCCCTTAACACCCCCTGAAAGCCCTTAACACCCGAAGAACCCGGAAACGCCCTTAAAAGCCCTTAAAACCCCCTAAAAAGCCCTTAACACCCGAAGAACCCGGAAGAGTAAAAGCCGCAAGGGCGATCCTTGGGCAGAAGGTTCGCCGCGTCCCAAATGGAGGCATTGCAAACGACAGCCTGGCGGGTCGCCAGTTGGTCCTGTTTTGGGGGCTAAACCCCCTAAACCCTAAACCCTAAACCCGAAATCCCACACCCCGAACTTGGTTTTTAGGGTCACGAAGCCCTGGACCTGGAGCCCTCAACCCCAAACGCCTAAACCCTGTAAACCCTAAACCCCAAAAAAAACAACACCCCAAAAACCCAGAACCCAAAACCCAAAAACCAAAAAACCCAAAAACCCAAAGCCCAAAACCCCAAAAACCCAAACCGGAAAAAGCCAAACCCCAGAAAAAGCCAAACCAAAAACCCTAAATCCCGACATTCTAAATCCGAAAACACCCCAAACCTCGAAACCCTCGTTCGGTGGCCTCAGCAGCTCGGACCTCGCCCGTGGCACCAGCACCTGGCAGACTTGGAGGCCAAGTGATTTCAGGAGGGGTTGAAGGTCTTATCTCACCTAGGGCTAAGGGCCCCGCGTCTCAGGGTTTAGGGGTCTAGGAAGCGCATCTACCAGCGAGGTCGTTTCGAAACCAACGCGCATCTTGGCACACATCTGCTTCCTTCGTGCAAACTCCTAGCGCTTGGGCTTTTAAGGGCTTCGGGCGGTGCCGAGGAAACGAGGGCTCTTCCCGCCTTGGCCTTGTTTGGATGTGGGGGCAAAGCTGGACACCCAAAGAGGGTCCAAGACCCCAAATCACAATCAAAAAAGCCTAAACACCTAACACTTGACAACACCAATTGCAAGCCTCAACAACCCAAACTCAAAGTGCAACCACTCCTAGTATAGCCCTCGAGATCCAGGAACAACACAAGCCACCACAGGAGTCTGACTGACAGAGGCTCCAAGCTTCTCTTCCTCAGCGTCGCGCATCGCACCCCAACGGCCCGGCGATTCTCCACAAGAACCTGACAAAGACGGATTTGAGGCTTCGTGAGACACATCTAGAGAGGCGAATGGCGTGTCCCGTTTGGGTTCAGACTTCTGCCAAGACTGCTTTCAAAGGCGCCGACCAGTATTGAACCGGCTAAGTCACACAGAGCAGCTTGCCCCCACCAGGTCGCCAAGCAAATTTGGAATGCTATGCAACCACCCCGGCCCCCAAACGAATCCACATGCCCGCCTAGATCCTGAAAGACAGAATGTGGTTTGCGGTCCACACATACAGTCAGGTCTAGAGCTTGGGTTTTCCCAAATCTAACATGCCCTCCCGATGCTGCCACGGTGGGCATCCATAGGAGTCTCTTCCGAATCCTAGTCCCGAGCACCCAGAACAACATGTCGGCGGCTGAGGCGACCAGGAGAGTTTGGACCACTTCATGGCTGGATCTTTCTATCTCAAGCCCTCGCGGCCCTGAACCCTAAACCCTAAACCCTCAACCCTAAACCCTCAACCCTAAACTCTAAACCCTAAACCCAAAACCCCAAACCCAAAACCCTGAACCCTCCGAAAACCCCACGAGAAGCCTCCTCCACTCGGGTGTTGGTCCGGATCTCACCGCCCTCGCGACGGACGGCCGCGGCCAGGGCATCGACCACGGCCCCCATGCCACCCTGCTTTGGGGGGGTTTTAAGGGTTTGGGGTTTAGGGTTTAAGGTTTAGGGTTTAGGGTTTAGGGTTTAGGGTTTAGGGTTTTAGGGTTTTTGGGTTTTGGGGGGGTTTAGGGTTTTAGGGTTTGGGGTTGAGGGTTTGGGGTTTTAGGGTTTAGGGTTTAGGCTTTTAGGGTTTAGGCAATTAGGGTTTAGGGTTTAGGCTTTAAGGGTTTAGGGGTTAGCGTTTAGGGCTTAGGGCTTAGGGTTTAGGGTTTAGGGCTTAGGGTTTAGGATTTAGGGTCTAGGGGTTTGGGGTTTTAGGGTTTATCGGGTTTAGGGAAGGCTTATCGGCTTGAGGAATCAAAAGTTGCTTGCTGTTGCGCTATGAACCCCAGCCCCCGGCAAAGCAGTTTAAAGACTGTTTGGACAAGCGACCGCGTCAGCGACACAGAATTTAAACGACGACGCTAGTTTAACAAACGCATTTTCACAGAACCGAAAGGGATTGCAAGGAACAACCAAAACTGCGCGTGGTTCCACAAGCACCCGCGCTTGATTTATTGAGAAAACAAAGCAACTTCCCTAAACCCTAAACCCTAAACCCTAAACCCTAAACCCTAAACCCTAAACCCTAAACCCTAAACCCTAAACCCTAAACCCTAAACCCTAAACCCTAAACCCTAAACCCTAAACCGTGACTTCTTCAACCTTTGCCTGGCAGATGCGAGAGCAACATCTGCTTAGTAATCTGGGGCTGGGGGGGGTGGGGACGAAACCTGGCGCTTGTGCGTTTCAGGGCTTCGGATTCAAGGGGGCTTGGGGCTCAAGAGGTTTTAGAGCTTAGGGCTCAAGGGGTTTAGGGTTTAGGGTTTAGGGTTTAGGGTTTAGGGTTTAGGGTTTAGGGTTTAGGGTTTAGGGTTTAGGGTTTAGGGTTTAGGGTTTAGGGTTTAGGGTTTAGGGTTTAGGGTTTAGGGTTTAGGGTTTGAGGGGCTGAGCAGGTTCAGACGTAGCTCAGAGAGGCGCCACGTTTGGGTCTCATGTCGCTTGGTGCTTCGGGGCTACGGGGTGTTCTTTCTCGGTTTGCGCAGAGGCCGCGAGTACTTTGAGGGGAGGCCCGAAAACCCAAAACCCGAAACCACACCCCCCCCAACCCGGCAAAGCCCGAAACCCCAAGAAGCGACAATTCCTAAACCCTAAACCCTGAACCCCCCTTAAACCTCAACCCTAAACCCTAAACCCTAAACCCTGAACCCCCCTAACCCCCCCTGCTTCCGGCCTTGGGGTAGGCAAGTCCGCGGGTGCCTCCGTTGAGAGCTCTTCTCATCTGGGTTGGGGCTTTTGGGGTTTAGAGGGGGTTTGGGGTTTAGGGTTTTGGGGTTTAGGGTTTAGGGTTTAGGGTTTAGAGCTGAGGGCTTAGGGTTTAGGGTCTAGGGTCCCAACCTTCCCAATGAAGTTCGTCCACGGTGAAGGCCATCGCTGCAGTGGTGGTGCCTCGCTGACACTTCGGAACTCCACGACATCTCGCTATTTCTGGGATTTACGGTTTTGTTCCCATTAGACTGCGGAGCCTCTTATATATAAATATACATACGTATATATATATATATATATATATATATATATATATATATACGTATATATATATATACATACATATATATATATATATGTTTATATATATATATATGTTTATATGCTTATTTTGGGTGGCCATGTATATGCATATATCTATATATATGTGCGGAAAATGGAGTGTTTGGTTGAAGACAGTCTCTAATGTAGAGCCCTAAGCTTGAAAAATAGTCCCCTAAACCCTAAACCCTAAACCCTAAACCCTAAACCCCTAAACCCCCAAAAGTACCCTAAACCCTAAACCCCTAAACCCCCAAAAGAGGGGGGTGCCCTTAAGGACCCGGCCACTGCAGTCCAAGCCCGAGAGCGAGAAGGCCAAAGCGTCGAGCCAGGATCGCAGCCTCGGGAAAATGGCGACAATCGAGGGGGGGCACGTAAAAACTCTTTGGAACAATGCTCTCGGTTTTAGGTTTTAGGGTTTAGGGTTTAGGGTTTGGGGTTTAGGGTTTAGGGTTTAGGGTTTAGGGTTTAGGGTTTAGGGTTTAGGGTTTAGGGTTTAGGGTTTAGGGTTTAGGGTTTAGGGTTTAGGGTTGAATAGCGAAAATGCGACTTCGTGGCGAAAGCAACTCTGGGTGTTCTAGGGTTTACTGTAGGGGGTTGAGGGGGTTTAGGGTTTTAAGGGTGTTAAGGGGTTTTTTGTTTAGGGTGTAGGGTATAGGGGTTTAGGAGTTTAGGGTTTAGGGGTTTCGGGTTTCGGAGGTTGAAGGGCTTTCGGGGGTCTTGGGTGCCGCAACGACGCCTCGTGCTGCATTCCGGCAACGTCCTGACTATACTCCCCCTAGAACCTTAATAAACATAATATTTGCAATATCCTCTTGGGATTTATATGAACAAAAATAAAAAATAGTTCCCAAGGGGGGATATAGCTGAGCCCCTCGCCAGCTCCCCCTTCGCATCTTGCCCTCTGCCTCGAGCCGATCAAGGACCTGCGCCGCAAATTCCGCCGACTGCGGGCTTAGGATTTTGGGGGGTTACGAAACTAAGGGACCCCCCAAAAATAGACCCCCAAATAGTATAAGATTCCCTTATAATAAAAGGATCCCAAGAAGGTACCCCTGGTGTCGGAAACCGTTGGGATGCTTTTTTTCCGCATACTAACAGTCCTTAGTAGGGATCATCGTAGGGGGGCATACGAAGATACTAGGGGGTACTATCATCCCTATTAAGGACCGTTAGTCTAAGGGGAACATCCCAAGCTTAAGGGTGGCAAGAAAGCCCCCCATCAAGAGAGTAGCGTGACACCAAAAACCCTAAACCCTAAACCCTAAACCGGCATCAAGAGATTGATCTCCATGCAGAACTTGTGATGCATCTTCATGCGTCTCAATGGTCCGATCTGCTCTAAGTCTAGCTCTGGCCGTTTCTTCCCGCGCGCGCTTGCTACTTGAAGGTTCAGGGTAGGTACAAGTAGAAAAGACGATAACCCGGTACTTTTTCGCTACTTTAACGTTACATATGATAGAACTACCCATAACCTCCAAGTAGTCCGTCCTCAATGAAGAGGAACCTCTAGAGGTCGATCGTAGGTATAACTAGGGTGATAAAGTGCCCTAAACAAGGTCATAACCAGCTATATTTAAAAGTTACCTTACCATGACATGAAGCTTCAGGCAGGGGGTCTGCAGGCTCTGCCCGAAATTTCTGACCCAAAAAGTCTGCATGCTGCCTCGCTCTCAACAAAACCCCCGAACCCCCTGGAAGATTTGGAAGATCTGCGGCTTAGGGCTTAGGAGGTTTAGGTTCAGGGCTTAGGGTTTCGGGTTTAGGGTTTAGGGTGAGGTTTAAGGGATTTAGGGGGCTTAGGGGAGGTTAGGGGGTTTAGGTGGGCTTCGGACTTAGGGGGGTTTACGGGGGTTTGGGGGGGCTTAGGCGGGGTTTTTTGGGGGGGGGGGGGGGGGGGCTGCGCCTTGCTGTAAGGCTCGGAGAGGCTCGCCGCCTCTTGGATGGCCGGGAGGACCGCTCCCGGAAACTGGGCAGGAGCGGATTTAGGGATTGGGGTTTTGGGGTCTAGGGTTTAGGGTTTAGGGTTTAGGGTTTAGGGTTTAGGGTTTAGGGTTTAGGGTTTCGAGTTTAGGGTTTGGGGTTTAGGGTTAGGGTTTCGAGTTTAGGGTTTAGGGTTTGGGGTTTGGGGTTTGGGGTTTGGGGTTTAGGGTTTGGGGTTTGGGGTTGGGGGTTTGGGGTTTGGGGTTTTGGAATTTTTGGGGTTTTGGAATTTTTGGGGGTCGTGGTTTTGGGCAGGTGCATGTCCCGGAAGATGCCACTAAGAGTTTCAAAACCCAAGCCCTAAATCCCAAAATCGAGACCCTCAGCCCACCGAGAGATTTATTCAGAACAGTTACCCAAATCAAGGTCCCTACTATAGGACTTACGGGGGTATACGCCCCGCAAAAGGGATGCCCCATCACATAGAGAAGATGCCCGCAGATGGCGGGGCTGTAGTAAATTGTCTCGGGCTTTCCGGAAATCCAAACGGCCCAATGCCTCTGAATTAGGAAAATCACCTGTAAATATACAGGGATCCAAAGTATGATTCAGGGTATCTTCCGGAATTACCCTAAACCCTAAACCCTGAGAGGTATTGGGCTCTGTGCGAAAGCCTCCGAAATTCCTTGGACTCTTCGCGCCTTGAGAAGCAGCGGGAGGAGCTGCCACCTCAACAGCCCCAAGGGGACAAACTCACCCGCAAAAATGCCCATAGAAACCCCCCAAAAAAAGTTAAAGCACAAAAAAAACACCCTGAAACCCTAAACCCTAAACCCTAAATCACCGAAACCTTGAA